TGCTCACCTCCTTTCTACAGTGGGGGGGGGGGGGGAAGTTGAAGGCTGCTCTCAAATCCCCCCTCTCAAGTCTTCTTCTGCAGACTAAACAAAGTCAAATCCCTCAGCCTTTCCTTGTAGGTCATGTGCTCCAGCCCTCTCATGACTTTGGTCACTCTCCGCTGGACCCTCTCCAATGCATCCACATCCTTTCTTTAGTGGGGTGCCCAGAACTGGACACAATATTCCAGATCTGGCCTCACCAAAGCCAAATAAAGGGTTTCTAGATTTGCTGGCAATGCTTCTCTATCCTCTATTAACCTTTTACGTTCCTACTGGAGGCTTTCAGGATCATTGGATATTAATGAGTTTCAGCTGTTGGCCTGAATAGTTTTGTTTCTTTAATCATAGGAAAGAGGCGATATGATCGGAAGCAGAGTGGTTATGGTGGTCAGACAAAGCCTATCTTCCGTAAAAAGGTGAGCGCAGCTAAAGGAAAGAGCGTTGAAACCCTCTGGTCATTTTCATGTAATAAGAATGGCCATACTGGGTCAGACCAAAGGTCCATCTAGCCCAGTGTCCTGTCTGCCGACAGTGGCCAGCACCAAGTGCCCCAGTGGGAATGAACAGAACAGCAAATCAAGTGATTTGTTCCCCGTCATTCATTTAAAGCTTCTGACAGACTGGGGCACCAGACCAGTAGATCAGGATCCACTGGTAGATCTTTGAACCTTTGACTGGTGATCCTGACAGGTTTGGCCGAGAGGCTATCCAGTGCCTGCGCTTGATCTGCCCCTCGCAGCACTGTCTTGCTGCTCCTGCTCTCTACCTTGGAGGTGCCCCTCGCCCCTGGGAGCCTCTTGCTTTCTGTGCAGGGCATGGGGGAAAAGGAAGGAGGGGGATGCTGATGTCAGGTTGCCCCTCCCTGTACCCTGTCTCCACACAGCAGAGGGAGGCAGGGATGACGAGAGTTTGCTGATGGCTTTAGGGGGTGGTGCAGGGCCAAGGTTGGGGTGAGTCTGCCTTCGCCCCTTGCACCACCATCCAGAAGCAACCTAGCTGGAGCTTGCATTCCAGACCCCGGCCCCAGTCCTGAATCCCTCCTGCACCCAAACCCTTGCACCCAGACCCATTAAAAAGTGAATGAGGATGGGGGAGGGAGGATGGAGTGAGCAGGGGGTGAGGCCTTGGGGAAGGAGGTGGGACAAGGGTGTTTGGGTTTGAAGTAGATCCTGGACTGCACTTAAATTCAGAAATTGATCTCGTCCTTAAAAAGGTTGGAGAGTACTGGACTGGGGTACCATTCTGGCTAATAGCCATTGATGGACCTATTCTCCATGAACTTGAATTCTTTTTTGAACCGTGTAATAGTCTTGACCGTCATAACATTCACTAGCAGAGTTCCACAGGTTGACTGTGATGCGTGAAGAAATACTTTTGTTTGTTTGTTAAATCTTCTGCCTCTTAATGTCATTTGGTGACTTTATTGTGTTATGTGCAGGGCTTGACAAATCGCTATATCTACTCACCCGTGGCAAGTAGATTTCAGCCAGTCGCCCCTTTCACCGGCGCAGCACGCATGTGTAGTGCCCATCTGGCGCATGCGTGGTATGGGGGCTGGTGAATAGATCTCTCTGCGGTTTGTCGAGCCCTGGTTATATGTGTTGTGTATTCTTATGAAGAGAGGTGACTCAAACTTCTCATGAGGCTGTAGAAGTAGCAACTTTTAACATTTAGGTAGCCCTGGATAGGGATGTAAGTGACTACTCGCTTTCCCTTAAAAGGTGGCTCCCCCCCAGGACCATCTTTGCAGAGGAGGCAGAGCTGCAGCATCCTGGGGCTGGCGTGAGTCAGGACTATTCAGTCCCGACTAACGCCACTGGGCTCTTATAAAGTGCAGACCTGTAGCAGGAGCACCCCCCCTATTGACTAATTGAGTTTGAGTAGTCAATGGAAATTCCATCGACTACTCGGTTAGTCAGTTAACCGATAGTTAACGTCCCTAGCCTGGAGTAGGGATAGCAGTGCATGTGGGCATGAGTCTAGTTTGCTTGCAGTGGATGTAATCTTGCTGCTATTGTATTGTAACTTGTATTGATAGCTTTTGCCCTTTTGTGCCTGAATTCGTTTCTTTCCTCAGCCAAATGGAAAGTTTCTTGTCATCGTAGATTGAAGTAGCTAGGAATTTTAATGGGCCCCCTGCACAACCTCCTTTAATCGGTTAACCAATTAACTTAACGCTTAACTGGTTAACTAGTAAAATGGGATCTTACAACCCTAGAAGTAATATCTTTGTCTGAGAGGGGGCCATGCTATAAGTACATGAAGGAACACAATGGAGATAGAAATTAGAGCACCCCTTTCCCTTAGTCAGTTTGCTGATATCTTACGTTTTTACAATTGAAAAGGTTGTTTTGTTTTGTTTTTAAATCCAATGTCTGTAAGTGTCAAAACTAAAATTTACTATTTTGGTTAGGGATATAATTTTTTTTTAAGCAAAAGTTTATACAGTGCAACAGCTGAGACTAGGCCTGGGCTACAATGTTAAAAGTGATTAGAGGGGAGAAACAGGTTTGTACCCCCTTCATGACTATAAAGGTGGTCTGGAGAACTACCACCATTATTTAAAAAAAGAAAATAGCATGAGATTTATTTTGGTGTTAATTTTTAAAATGTCTGGAGTGTTGTCTAGTTTTCTGTGTTTGCTGGAAGATTTGATAGATGTCTCTGGAAAATGGGACTGGTGAACTCAGTATTTCGATTCAGATGTAAAGTTTTTTTTTTAATGTTTCTTGGGCATTTAAGAACATTTTTAAAGCTTTATTTTGTGTTTAAATAGTTTGAATAAAACCCACTTCCCTTCTCAGTTGATCGGATTCTCTTTCATGGTACAGCTATCATCTTATTTTTCTGGTCCTCTCTAAGCTTCCCGGAAAAAGATCAGAATGTCTGACCACTTTTTTTTTTAAACTTAAAATAAAAAACAGAATTACTCCCATAACTTTTTTCATGTCTTAAGAAACACAACCTAGACACTTGCATTTGCAAGTCACTTTAAGACTAGTGATTTTTTTTTTTTCAGTGTTGCTTGGGTCTATTATCGTGATACTCTAACTCTTGTATTGGTGACCCACTTTCACACAGCAAGCCTTTGAGTGTGATTTTCTTCCTTGCCCCCCCCTCCCAAATTGAAAATACTTTTGCCTCCAGCATTTATAATAGTGTTAAACAGGTCTTAGGGGTGGAGATTGACAGCTTGCGACCCCCTCACCAAGGATCAGTCCCCAATTAGAGAACCCATGGTCTATTAGGAGCACAGGGAGAGACACGTCAGAGTAGCGTTAGCATGCTAGTTGTGTGGCACAGTTGGTGACTGATATAGATTGTGTGTGTGAAGACCTTGGGTTACAAGCAGAAGGATGGACAGAATATTCAGTGTCTGTCAGAACCATGACATAATCTGTCTTGCTTGGTAGTACTGGAAACTATTTGAGTTGCCAATGTAAGAGGGGTGCTGCAGTTTACAATTACTGCTAATCTGCAGGACTCAGACTAGAACCTATGGATGGACAGAATATTGCAGGCCAGTATTGAAATGTGGCAACAGATCTACACTGGGAAACTGGCCTGTGGTTTTGTCTGCTCTGTGCTCTTCATTCCTCACTCTCTCGACTGCTGAATTCTCTGCTGTAGAAACCCCTCTTCCTATGTGGAATGAAGTTGTTTTCTCCTAAATGTCTTGCCTCCACTCCCAAGGCTGCTGCCTTTTTGTTCCTGAAAAGCCTTGCACGGAGCCTAACTTGATGTGTACAGGCGGGAGTAACTGAGCTAAATGAGGGCTGGCTTTGCCTGCTCCTGGGAACATTCCATTCACAGACACTCTCTCTAGGCCAAGACCACGAAGAAGATTGTGCTGAGGCTTGAGTGTGTGGAGCCCAACTGCAGGTCCAAGAGAATGCTGGCCATTAAGAGGTGCAAGCACTTTGAGCTGGGAGGAGACAAGAAGAGAAAGGTAGGCGTGGGTGCTGAGAGAGGTGGGTGGTGAGAGTGAAGCTGTGCACTGTGTGACCAGTTCAGTGAGGAAACTACACTCTCGGCGCTGGCCAGATCTTAGCCTCCTCTGTATTAATGTAAAGATCGCTGGCTGGTGGTAGCTGTTTCATGGAGAAACTGAGGTTGCAAAGTCTCCTTTAGTGTATCTTCAGAATGGCCGAGCTGTCGAATAATGCTCTGCAGAGGCCTGAGGCAAGTTGCGATGTTTGTGGTTTTGCATTGCACATACTGAGTCGGTTTTTTCTCTCTTACAGGGCCAGGTGATCCAGTTCTAAACTCCATCTTGTTCATTTTCTGGAACCCATTAAAGTATCTGGAAAGGATCTGCAGCTCTTGCATAGCTCTTCATTGCCAGGGAGGGACTTGGGATGCGTCAGACCCAAATGGGGGCTGCCCCTGCAAATAAAGTTCTCTGGGCCTGGGAAATCTCAGTAGTTGAACATTGCGTTATATGGGCTCATGCTGCTGAAGAGGCTTTAGAATCAATTCTGGCTACAGCTAGAAAAACTTTTAGTCCCCACTCAAAGGTGCCAGCTCCTGGGAGGCTGTTCAGGGCCTACCAGTCTTGTATACTAGTGGCTCTGGTGGCTTGGAGTGGAAGCCATGTGCTGCTACTCTCCTCCCAGGTCCTTCCACAAATGGGAGCAGCAGATAGGGCTGTGTCTATGGAGAAAACTCCAGGAGGTTGTCAAAACAAGTTGCACTGGTTACATTTAACTGAGTTAAATTCGTGCACGCTCTATATGTGACCACTTACCTGTCTTAAACCTGCTTCAGTGGTTTTTGCTTGTTTCGGAGAATATGGCCACAACCTAAATCCGTTTCAGGCAGAGTTAAATTGGTGTCTCTACAAAGCTGCAGCAGTTTAGCTAAATTGTATAAAATCCCACTTTTATTACAGTGATACAGTGGGCATGGACAAAGTCTTAGCCTTGCTCTGTACGAAGAAGGGATGTCAAATCCTATTTAACCAGTTTAAACAGGATCCCATGGGTGGGAGGGGGGGATGTTGAAGCAGCCTCCATCCATGGATGGGGCTGGCAGTGCCTGGGGCTCATGACTAATTGGTTAGTAAGGGTGATCCTTAATGTGTAACCGGTTACCAGTCCACATCCCTAGGACTAGGTGTTTGTTTTTTGGGTTTAGAAGGAAAGGAGGGGGGTAAGACTAGCTCATCTGGTAAGTGACTGCCCTAATGCACAGGGGAGGGCTGGCTTGGTTATGCTGAGCCTACTGAATAGCATTAGGAATGAGTCCATGTGCTGCTGGTCTACAGCAGTGGTCTCATTTTAGATCTCTAAAAGCACTAGTAGAAAACTGAATCTAGGGGGCAAATGTACAAAGGCACCTGGGGGTAGGGTCTAGCTGCCCCTCGAATACAAATGTAGAGATTTCACTGACAGGTGAGTCTCATCTTTCCAGTACCATTTTTAGGCAGCCATCATTCATTTCTGTTGGTAGATGTGAACTTGTTGCTGGTAGCTCAGATAAGCAGAATTGTATGGGCTAAGCATCATGTATTTAGCCTCTGGTCTGCCTCATTCTCTGTGCTGGAAAGGGAATGTCTCAAGTCCATTCGGCTAAGCAAGTGTTCGCAATGTTTAGCCTGATCCCATCCTTTGGCATAAGACAAACCTGGCTAGTTTTCTTTTCCACTTAACACCAACCCATAATTCCTTTAGTAAAGGACAGCACTGCATCCTCATGAGGATAACAGACTCAGCTAGCACTAAAGGCAAATGTGATCCATTCGAATGAGAATAGTACATGCTGTTCTTAGATACTGACCTCAGCTTCACCAGAGAGGATACTAAGGAGCATTTTGCTGCATTTCTATGAAATTCCACTTGATACAAAGACTAAACTTTGTTGAGGGGGGGAGATAGTGAGTGTGTGTGTGGGCAGAGGTCAACTGATTCTTCATGTGCAGCAACAAGGTGCCTGTGTGCGTGCATGCGCGCAGAGGACAACTGATTCTTCATGTGCAGCAACAAGCAGGGTGCTCTTTTGCCAGGATAAGCAGTTCTAGCGTATGTTCTTCTTCTAGCATAACTTACAGCATCAGAAGGCTTTTTACTAGAAGTAAAAAAAATACAGCCAGCAGTTCTTCCAAGTGCAGGTTCAGAGTGGCATTTTATTTAAGCTGGCTTACTACAGGACCCTGTAACTGTATTTTGAGGCCTGCTGAAGTAATTGGTCCTTCAGTGGTGTATTGCTAAAAGACGGCAGGAGTTAGCCGCCACTATCAAAGTTGTCCAGGAATAGGTATGCTTACATTTTTGTTTTAGGAAAACTTGTGTACCTGTTTGCACTGGTGGGTGGGATTCATTTCACAAGAGCTAGAAAGCTCAGACCACGCTCAAGTGGAGGGCACCAGGCTCTGTTCCACCCCCTGCTACAAAGACTCAACTCCCTCTAGTGACTACTAAGGTTAACCCCTTTGCACCAGGAACTGGGTTGCTTTAGTCCAGAGCTGGCAGTAGAAGGCTGGCCGGGTACCAGCATCTCACAGGAAGCTGCTGAAGACAGCTGGGTGACTGCCCTTCCCTCAAGATTTTGCACCAGGAACTTGGGTTGCTTTAGTCCAGAGCCAGCAGTAGAAGGCTGTCCGAGTATCAGCATCTCACAGGAAGCTACTGAAGGCAGCTGGGTGACTGCCCTTCCCTCAAGAGAGATGGATTTAAAACCACCCTAGCGCAAAGTAAAAGTCTGGGGGCAGAGGTCTTTTCCTGGGAGATCCCACCACATGGATGCAGTGGTCTTTATTCAAATGGAGACAGCAAGTAAGTACTGGCTTAAGGCACTTGCTGACTCACCACAGCAAGGTGAGAGCAACCTGAGAGGGAGGGGAGTGACTTCAGGTGGAGTCTGAGGGCAGGGTGGGAGTTGCCTTGCAGCTGGTGTATATCAGTCACACAGGGTTGATGCTGTTAAGGCAGAAGGGGAGCACTATTCCCAGCTGTTGGCACCACCTCAGACCCTGCCTCTTCCCATCACTCTAAGGTCACTAGACCTACACAGGGATTAAACTGGCTCAGCCATTCCCTGGGGGTGGAAGGCTTGAGGCAAAGGAAGGTTGGGGCAGATGCTAGATCAAGTAGGACATGAGCAGGGATAAGTAGTGACACCACCTCCCCAGTAGTTGCAACACGACAGATATACCGGACAGAGTACCGGATTCAGGTTAACTGAGTAGAGTTCACCCCTCTCTGCTGGGCTCTTCCTTCACTCGAGCAGTGAAGGGGCAGGGCTGCAGCAAGGGAGTGCTGGTGCGGAGGGCATTAGGCTACCCCTGCATTACAAGATATTTGGAGGTAGCTTTCTGTTAATGTTCATGATGGGCTTCTCAGCTGGGCGCTCCTCAATCACCACCACCTTCAGCAGCACCGTACCCGTTGGGTTCACCTCCACACTCAAGAACGAAACCCAGTTGTGCAGGCCCCAGTCCTCGCTGGCGGGGAGGATCTGCTGGATGACGCATGCAGGGTTGCAGGCCAGGCCGTTGCCAAGGAAAGAGAGAGAGAAGCTGAAGGGCCGGGGTCCTCCGATCTCCTGCCGATTCAGCACGGCCACAGCATAGGCGCCCCCAGACAGAGGCCGCTCCCAGAGCTCAAAGTTGCTCTCCTGCCAAAAATGGAAACCAGAGCCTGTTTGAGGGAGCAGGACGACTCTCCCTGCGCAGGCAGCTGGGAGGCATGTCGGAATCGGTGCTCTGTGGATGGAGGTTTCAAGACTATTCTCTGGCTACTGAGGAAGGCAAAGGCACCACCCCCAGCAACCTCATTTCGCCTCTCGTGACCTGCCCTGGAAAGGAGCAAAGCTCATCCCCATCATACCTTGCTGAGCCGGTAGCCCTGCTTGCCCAGCGGGTCCTGGTTGATGGCAATCACGTCCTTGTTCTGGAGCAGCCACTTGGCCTGAGGGCTGATGTGACGCAGGTCATTGGACATGAGCAGCGGCGCTGCCATGATAGCCCATAGCGCCATCTGCGTCAGCTGCTGGTCCCAGCTCAGTCCAAAGTTGCCAATCACCAGCTATGACAAGCAGAGGAGGAGACTGGTAACAGGGTGTTAACACTTTCAGCTCCTGCTGTTCCTTTGAGGGGAAGTCAGGTGTCCCCGCACTGGCTAAGTGACTCGATGGATGTGCCACATACAGTGCACAGAACAATATACCTCATGCTGCAGTAGGGGCTAGTGAGACAAACCTACGCCGGGTAGAAACCAAGAGCAGGTCCTCACCAGCTGGCAGGCAGTGACGGGGCAAATGCCAACTTCAGGCAGCTCTTTGTGGATGAGGAGCTAGGGAACAAGCTGGCAGGGGGGAGAGGAGGACGATTGGGCCTGGCTGGAAGGCAGAGCGAGGGAGCACAAGGCTTAGTCTGAGGTCATCATAAATGCTCTTTGAAGAGTGGCTGCTAACTGGGGGCAGAGTTAAGGTGTATTTAGGATGTGGGGAACTCTGGGTGATCAGCTCTTGGCATCAGAAGCGAGCACCGGCTCTGGTGGCCCAATGGGCCGGAAAGCCTTGGGCTTGCTTTTCAGAGAAGGGCTCTTAGATAATGCCCCCAGCAGAACCTGAGCAGTGCCCAGAGGTTACATCCCGTACCCTGTGGGCATCCTACCCCATCCCTGCCCAGCCCCTGGGCTGCCTTTTTTCCTGAGGTATCGCTCCCTTGGATGAACCGGACTGCCAGAGAGGGTCCGTCTGCTGCCCCCACCCGATATTTCCCCAGTCAGGTTGTTACAAAGTTCCCTTGTGATTCTGTCTCTTGCTTTCAGGAAGGGACTGCCCCTCCACCATTGTGCACTGGTGCTATCCCCTCCAGTCAAGTAGAGGCTGCTTCAAGGTTGTTGCAATGCAACAAGCGCTCACTCTCACCATGTCAGGGTCATTCCATCCCCCTGGGCCAGCAACGTCCACAATAGTGTCTTGGTGAAGAGCTGTCCAGTCCAGGGTGCTCCGAATGCTGCTCCAGGCATCATAGATGTCACCAAAGTTCCGCCAGTGGTTGCAGTAGTGTTTGATCTCTGTGTAGTTGGGCTGTTGGAGGACAAAGAGGGCGCTCACAGGAGAGGTGCCTGAGCATGTGGGATAGAGGCGCGTACCTGAGGACCGATTGCTGCACAGGTGCACTGGGGCATCACAGATGGAAAAGATCTCTAAGGTCATTCAGTCCATGTGCGGTGGCAGAGCAGGACTGTTCCCGGGGCACGTTCTTGGACCTTTGCCCCCACTCTAGGGCAACCACATTTCAACCACTTCCCATGATCACCTACATCTTCCTGGTTTTATTCAGCCTAATGTAACCCCATTAAACCTACTCCTAGCCGGTACCACCCTGCATAGCAGGGATGTAAAATCCAGCTTAATCAGTTAACTGGCTGGGGGCTGCTCCGGCCTGGCCCACCACACCACACAGTGGGTGTGCAGGGATCTGCTCCAACCTGGCCAGCCCAGCTGGAGCAGTCCCCTCCTTGTGGTGGGCGGGAGGAGGCTGTGCCAGGCGGCTATAACCAACAGGGGGATGCTTACCCGCACGTCCCTAATAATTACCCATGGTTCTTGGGGTTTACAGCCTACAGCGTCCGGTGGATTTAGTCCCCTCTGTGCAGTAGGCACTGCTGTATTACAGAATGAAGGACTCAGCTAAGGGCGGAGTCTCACTCCAGCCCCTTTACTGACTAGGATTTTGCTCACAGATTCCTCCCCCGCTGCTAGTGGAAAAATCCCTGGTAGCTCAGTCCTCCAAATTCCCTGTTGGTGAGGGGGTGACCCTAGTGGTCTAAGGAGGGGGGGGAGGTTCTGTGACCCTCGGGCAAGTCTGGAGGGGTAGAATATCACAGCATCAGTTCTGAGACACAGGCAAGGCACAAAGACATGTCTAGCGCGTGAGTTCTGCTGTGGATTCTTAGCCAGCTGATTTCCTCCTTAGCCCTCTGCTCAGTGCCCTTTCATTCGTCAACACGTCCCTTCACCCACGCTGGCTCCCTTGACATTCAGCCACAGTTCCTGTGGTAGCACATGAGATGATCTGGGAAGTTAATTCATTTCCTTGGTGTTCTGAATGTCACCAGCGTGTTCCCACTGCCATGCACCATGTCTGTCTGGGGAAGGACTCCTTACCTTCCGCATGGGTCTCATGTATAAAGGCCATTCGCAAGAGTACACAATGCTTCTGCCTGTCTCATTCAGGGCCAGAGACATGTTCCTGTAACCTGAAGGAAGAGAAGAGCAGCCTGGTTGTACCACCTACCAAGGCAGAGGGAAACCTGGCTCAGCACTGATGGGTCAAACAGCAGATGGGAGTGGGTTATGCAATGATGTGTCATGTGATAGTGGCTGAAAGTCAGAACACCAGCTAGAGAGGAGTGAATTGTCATGGTCCAGCCAGATTTCTGCAGACCAGTTACCCGCCTTTCAGAGAGCTGGAGCAGTCAGGATGAGGGAAATAATGTGACTTAGAGATAGAAAACTTGACACACTCCAGGAGCAAGGTTCTATTCCTGGCTCTGCCAGTGTGTCGGTTTCTCCTCTATAAAACGAGGATGATACTGTCCGTTAGTGAAAAGTTTCAAGATCCATTGATGACACGTGCTATACAAGAGCTAGGTGTTACGAGACAGCGTGGTCTATTGCTTAGAGAAGAGGATAGCGCTTTGTCAGCTACTGATTTCAACCACTCCCCCTCCCCAGGGCAAGAGCTTCAAGTCAGCTGTTATGCTGCTCTAGGACTCAACATATGCCTCTGTAAAATGGGTACAATTACATACTGCTGTGTAATGGGCTCTCTCCCACCTCACTGTACAATGTGTCCTAGTCTAGACAATTTGTACTCGGCCCTCATTGTTTTGCTTTTACAGACAGCTGCTATTTTAACTTTGTGAGCTGTTCTCCAGCCGAGGGCAGTTTGAGTAAAGCTAGCTGTGGCTACCAACTGCATGACTCACTAGCGTGCTCTCCTTATGGAATCCCCAGGCCATGTGACTTCAGAGGAAAATGGGTAAGCCATAGGAGACAAAACTAGCTGGGTGAGATTCCAGTATCGTATCTTTGCAGCTAGGAGAACTCTGTCCTGTCCTCTCCTCTTTGATTAAAGTCTGGGTAGGAAGTGTGTTTCTTTGCTGTCCCAATTTGAACCCTGTTCTGAGAGCAGAGAATCTCTCCCAAGAGCTTCCAGTGTCACTAACTGCTGCCTAACGGTGCTCTCTGAGCTGCAGGCTGTGGGCAGTGAAGTTACTGTGTGTGTTAGACCAACAGGCTTGGGCAGCCCTGATCAGATTGTTCTGAGGCAGAACAGAACCCGCTCCAGCCTGCCTCTGGCCAAAGGACTCAGCGATGCTGCTCCCCACTCGGCTAACAAAGGAGGCGTTCTCTCCTGAGCTGCCCTCTTCCCTTGACGTGAGTCTGTGACTTGGACAGCAGCATGTCTGCCCGGGCGGTGTGTTGCCGGGGTGTGGTGAGGGTCCACATCTGACGCCCCGGCACAGACACTAAACGGACAGGCTGGTCGTTTTCACGGCTGACGTGCCTGCTGACTTCTGGAGGGGTCTTTGCAGTCACAGGGTGCCTTAGTTGGCTTCCCAAGTCTTTGCTGCCAGGAGCCACAGTAATTGCATGTGTGTCAGGTAGAAGCTGGCTCGGGGTTTAATGTCTGTAGTGCTTGGATGAAAGGCTCTACAGTAGAGCATTAGTTGCCATAGCAGGTGCCAGAACACACTGCAGACAGGCCCCCCAAGTGTCTCTAAGCACGCCTTTTGGAGCACCTCTCCCTCGCACACTGCAGGCCTTGGGGCCAAGAGGGCTGCTCCTTCAAGTCATGCCAGAAGGTTTGAAGCTGTGAAGAGCCAGGGGCAGGACCCTGGGGCAGGAGGCACTAGATGAAGCGGAGGTGTTGTGAGGAGTAAGGGCTGTGGATGGATGGGTCAGCTGAAGTCAGGTTGGCTGATTCCTGGATCCCCACGACGGAGATGACCAGCAGCATGTATCCTTGGCCCCTCAGAGAAACTTCCTTTTGGTTCCTCCCACGGCCCCTCCCCTTCCCACCCACTCACCCTCATCGCTCTGTCCCAGGGGGTATGTTCAGTAAAGAGCCACTCTGCTGACGCTGTGCCAGTTCTCAGCCAGGGCTGACTAGACAGCACCCCCCCCCCATGGAATCTCTCCAGCTGACACATACCTTCGGCCAGCAGGTCCAGCGTGCCGTAGTTACAGCCGTCGAACTTCAGCAGGTCCACCCCCCAGTCAGCAAAAGTCTGGGCATCGAGGTCATAGTAGCCGTAACTGCCAGGGTAGCCAGCGCAGGTTTTGTTTCCAACGTCTGCATAAATCCCCAGCTTCAGCCCTTTAGAATGGACCTGAGAGGGGCAGAGACACACACACTGAGAG